CTTCCCTATTCCTAGCTACTCTTGAGCATCCCAATAGCTAAAACAAAAACATGGGCAGCATCTCTTTCTGTGCTTCCCTTCTGCTTGCAACCCTATTTCTACATTTGTGTTTTCAACAAGAGGTTGAAGCCCAACCAGGCCCCTTTATAAACAACCGACTTAGAAATGCCTTCAATGTGATCCAAGCTTTCAAACGCAGAATCCAATCCGACCCCAAAAACTACACAGGAACATGGGTGGGTAACAACGTCTGCAAATATAAGGGCTTCACCTGCGCAGTTGTCCCTGACCTGAAGAAGTTAGCGGTCATTGGAGTCAGCTTCAATGGAGCTTTGTTTGGCGGCTTTAACAACAGGCTGCCTCTCAATGGCTTCATTGACAGGTTGGAGGACTTGGTGTTCTTCCATGCGAACTCCAACAACTTCACGGGCACCGTCCCTAGAGGCACTGCCAGGCACAGATTCTTCTATGAGCTTGATCTCAGCAACAACAAGCTAACTGGAGGCTTCCCAAATGAAACTCTTGGGGCCACAAACTTGACCTTCTTGGACCTCCGGTTCAACTCGTTCAACGCCACGGTTCCACCAAAAGTGTTTAACCTAGATGTTGACCTCCTCTTCCTCAACAACAACAATTTCCAGCAGCGACTTCCAGCCAATCTTGGCTCCACACCTGCCCATTATCTTACCTTTGCCAACAACAAGTTCGTTGGTTCAATCCCAAGAAGCATTCGCCAAGCTAGGAACACCCTTTATGAGGTTCTCTTCCTAGGGAACCGGCTTTCAGGTACAATGTCCTCGAAATTGCTCAAATTTTTGATATCTTTTAGGTTCGATACATTTTCGGTAACATCGATATTTAACACCTTGATTCGTTACAGGGTGTCTACCGTACGAAATCGGGTTCCTGAAACAGGCAACCGTGTTTGATGTGAGCTCCAACATCTTAACAGGCCCAATACCAAACTCCTTTGCTTGCCTGGGGAAGCTGGAGTATCTGAGCTTGGCCAGTAACCAGTTCTATGGGAGGGTACCTGAGGCTGTGTGCAGGTTGCGTAATCTAGAGAGATTTTCCGCGAGAAACAACTATTTCAGTCGGATAGGACCAGCTTGTAGGGCATTGATCACGAAGAAGATTCTTGATGTCAGAGGGAACTGCATTCCGGGGCTTCCAAATCAAAAGACAGCTGCTCAATGTGCTGCCTTCTTCTCTATACCCAGAACTTGTCCCAGACCGAGAACGTTGAGTATAATTCCTTGTAGAAGATCACCTTCAGCTTTGAATGAGACGAACGCAGATATTAATGAAGATCAATTGACCACCAAAGCATATAATATTCAAGCACCAGCTGAAGCCCCACGAACTTATGCTACTCTTATGCCGCATGGGCATTGATTTGCATCATGTACTTGTGCTCATCCAAACTAAGTGGTCGTGATGGGTCTTCTCTTATTTTGCATGTGTGTGTTTTGATTTTTTTTTTTTTGGGTTTTAATTTTATTATCTACATGTGTGCTTCTTTTTCTTTTTGTTGGGATTATCTAGCATGTGTGTTTTGATTTCATTTGTTGTAAGCTGAATGTATAACTTTATGGATCAATGCACCCTGATTGCCAGAGGCAGTCCTAATTAAGCATATGCAAATTTGCAGAATAATGATTTTTATTTATTTTTCAGTCCTATCACTTTCAAATAGAATGGACAGCATATTTTGTGACCGACACAATATCAACATTGTATTTTTCAGTCCTATCACTTTCAAATAGAATGGACAGCATATTTTTTGACAGACACAATATCAACATTGTATTTTTTTTTATATAAAGAAATTCTATGATTGCATTTATAATTCAACCAAAAAAGGCACTAGTCATAAAGGGCCAATACAAACTAGACACAAAGGACCATTACAATAACGGAGCGATTTAACATCAAAATTAATACCATCTAGAGCTCCTCCACTAACATCAAAATTAATACAATATCGACATTGTATTAGGTATTGTAGATTGGTAAATCAAGTTTGGTAAGAACCAAAATAAATATGTTGAAACTACTTTCACTATGGTTGGATGGTGCATGACAAATAAATGACTCAGAAAAATCAAATTTTGAGATCTCTAAATGACTCCCAAAAAAAATAAAAATTGATGAGTCATTGACATAGACTACTCTACAAAGTTGTTAACTCTAATAATTTATAGTCTATGCTTGACCAAAAAATAAGTTAGTCTATGTGATAGTTTGTCTTCATTCTTTATAATAAAATGGAACGTAAATGGGAACCAGCCAAGCTTTGCTTCATTCACGAAAGAAAAAGGGAACCAAGCTCAGCTTTATTTACCAAGAAAGAAGGACGATGCTTGCATTATCCTTCTTTGGCATATGACTTTTTGAAATTCGCCAAAAACAAAACATTAAAAAAAAGAAAGAAAAAAAAAGAAGAAGAAGAAGCATATTGCTTTCGAAAGAGAGTGAAAAAAAAATTGAAACGTATAATGCCAGATGGGTCCTGACTCTTGAGCCTTTTCTTTTCCCTTTCTCTTTTTCCTGTTCTTTTCCTTTTCCAAGTTTATTGAAGCATGAATCATGTGATGCTGGCAATATAAAAGAGGGATTTCTCTCTATCACGATTCACGATTAGATATAGAAGATAGACCTAGTTGTGTACAACCGTGTGATTAAAAGAAGAAATATCTAGTCTATGCTGGGCCTATGTGGGTGGAAGTTAAAGAGACAGAAATAGAGTTCTTTGGATCATGGCCATATGCCCCTACCAACTTAAATAAATACACATGATATGATGTAAGTGAACTGATAACACCACGTTACGATTTAACTGTCAGTAAAAAGAATTCTTGTACTCGGATGGGTGGATAAAGAAATTTATAGGCGGCAACCTTTATTATTCTTTGGGCTTTTTTTTATATTGATGATCACCGACAGGAGTATACTCGTAATCTAATCTGCCATGGGCCTAATTAAACAACTTTCTTTTTTATGTAATAAGAAGAGACATGATGGACCTCGATCGTCGGAGGCAAAAGCTAAATAGAAAGATGACAATACTAAGAAAAAGAGACAAAGTAAACTACTTTATAGAAAGAAAAAAGAATTAATTGTTGTTAGTGTGAGGAACAAAATGGATAGGTCGAATACTTTCAATTATTGGGTATTTTCCTTTATATATAACGTGCTTCTTTTTTTAAATAAATAAATTAATAAATACAAGCAATATTGAAAGAGGGAGGAATCAAATCTAAAACCTCATACAACCAAGGTGGTTGGTGTGAGTGGTTCGGCACTCTCATTCCTTAAGAGAGGTCAGGGGTTCGATCCCTGCTCTCGTACGGAGTCACCACTTTGGCCAACACTTTACCCCTTACGGGCCGACCCGGTGTGAGTGGGGATTAGTCTGGGTTGTGGTTAAGGCTTAAAGGTGCCACCCATAGTTGGGGCCTATCCAGGACCACCTTATGGTTCAGACCCAAAAAAAAAAAAAAAATCTAAAACCTCATACGCGTGGTGGATAAATTGAAGGACAACGTAAACTACTTTTGCTTTCCTTCATGTATAAAGTGTATATTTCCTTTCATAAGTGCATTTTTCTTCTCTGTGGAGCACTAGAAGTGAGAAATTGATTGATGAGGTAAAAAAAGGACACAAGATTTGCCAAAGCTCATTAAGTTGAAAAGAAAAAAAATATCAGCAAAAATTGCAAACCATTTGATCACTTATGATCTTGGATGAAGTTTGGTGTTAAATAAAAATATTGTGTTGTCTATCTAATGGATTATAGTTAAATAACTAAGTAATATTGTTTTATATAATACATTTTTTAAAGATGATATTTGAATGAGGATCTAAAAGGAACACTAGGAAAATAAAATTATGAAGGAGCTCCAAAAATAAAAAAAGTTTAGTGCATATGATCTCACAACTAGAGAGTATTTGACCGCTCATCTATTTATATATTTACATTTGTGAATGAGAATGCCTTCACTGTAATTTGCATATAGCGGAGAGTGTTGGGTTGAGATTTGATTTAGAGTAGTTTAAACTATCGCTTGTATGAAAACAAATTCAACCGTGTATCAATAACAGACCATAAATACATCATTGTATACAGATGAAACAAGGCAACATACATTTCAGTGGGGGGCAACTGACCCCACTGATCACAACATATAGCCACTGTGTGCCTAACCACCCTCAGCTTCGTCCGTACGCTTTGAAAAGTGGTGGGATTAGCAGGATAAAATGAATCATTTCGTTGTCTGGCTTGATGTATATAGATGATTACGGCCGTATATATATGTTTAAAATCCAATCCATCTGTAAAATGTGTTGATTAAAGTTTTGAAATAAAGCGCGTAGCTTCTGATAACTTATTGATTTCAATACATGTTTTCTAGGGCATGTACCTTTCTGTGTATTTGGAGGTCCAGCTTTGAATTGGCCGGAGATGAGTGCTCAGTGCTCATTACAGTAGTTTCCACTTCCCACGATTTCTAATTGGACGGCGCACTTCAATTTCCTTACATACTTTAGAGGCAAAATGATTTGGTTGATCCTAAATAGTCTGTCTCTATCTATTAAATAATTATTATTGTATCTTTATTTATTCCAAATTTAACGTAAAAAGAACAATCTTTGAAAACTCCAAGTAATAATTGCACGATTGGAAACAAGGAAAAAGGGCCACGACCGTGGTGGGGATCATGATGACTACCGTGGGAAGTGGAAAAGATGGATGGAAGAATTGACGGAATTAGTTTTTTTAATATTTTATTGAGTCATGCTAGAGAGATTATCTTTAGATATCAACTTGTGTATCATCTCTCTAATAGAGATGAAGCCCACCAATACAACGGATCTCACCCTCTATTAGAGAGATGATACACAAGTTAGTATCTAAAGTTGGTATCCCTAGCATTTTCCTATTTTATTAAAGGATTTTTAATTTTATTTATTTATATAAAGCATATAATTGAACTTCAATTACTATTTTTTATACAAGCACTGTTCGGGGAGGGGGAATGGAACTCGAGTGCTGCTATTTTCATCCCTCGTCATACTTCTCCACCCACCATGTAAATTTGAAAAAGCACAATTCTAGTGTTTTCACAGACTAAGAAAGAAGGCATTTGATAGAACAATCACATAACTTGAGGAAAAAGTTGCAAAAAGTTGCAATTGAAGCAATGGCCTGAAGAGGTGCTTGAGAAATTGGGCAATGTGCTACAATAATAGGGAAGGCATAGAGAGAGCTATCAACAACCTATAGCTTGGGCAGAGATGGAGGCAGCTCAAGGCCAAAATATCTTCTTCCATTATATGATGGGAAAACAAGAAGTTATTATCTTCAAGGTGCGATGAAAGAGTGTTGTTGTCTTTTATTTATTTATTTATTTTTCAAATTTACATGGTGAGTGGGGAAATAGAACAAGGATGTGGAAATAGCAACACTCATTGAACCAAGGACATTGAAATTAATTTTTTAAGATCAAACAAAATCACTCAATGTGTCAATACCAAATATCAATAGGGCCAGTCCAAAAGAGCCTAAAGGGCAAAGGCCCATACCACTTGAGGAAGTAACTGGGCCAATCGACTAATAGAATACACCAACCTTACCTCACACTTAAAAATGCCTAAATGAGGTAAAGGGAGGCCGCCCAGGCCCATCCAAAGCCCACGATGCCATGACCCATTGCACTAACCCAAACGCCTCTCCCAAGATGCCCTCACGTGGGAAGAAGAAGCGCTAAAATGGGCTCACATCATATCCCACTGACGTCTATTTCCTAAAAAAGAAAGGGCATACGTACGTCAGTCTATCACCGATCGCCCAATAAAATGGTGCCATGTTGTCAACCTCTCTTGAGTCACACATTGGAGAAAGACAATTGTGAGGTCTCATCTTCCCTATATATAAAAGGGAGTACTTCTCCATACTTGAGAACAATACTTTTATAAGACTCCTTCGAGGGAAAAAGACTGTTAGAGGGTGGTCGGTGAACCCACCACCTCTTCAGTGACCCATTCATGTTTTCTTTTCATGAGATTGGAGTTACCGGCCACCGTACTTGAGACATACAGAAGTGCGACTTCAGAACCATGTCCACTTTTGAGGAAGGGTTGATTGAGTTTGATGCACTCTAATTGGTGCTGCGAATTTCACGCATCAACATAATGCATAATTATATCAAACGTGACGTTGGAGTTACTGAAAAAAGTGATTGATATCTTAAATTTGAATCTTGTCATTTGTAAAAGAAAAAAAAACATAGGAATATGAATCAATATAATTAACAAATGTGATACAAATATTTTATTCATCATTACGTACTTGGGTTGCTATCCTAAGTCAAGATGATCAAGCTGTCAAGGTTTGAAAACAACTAGCTACCAAAGCTTTTGAAACGCGAGCACAAAATGAAAAAACATTCAAATCCTAAGAAAAATGCTTTAGAACCCTCTCCTCGTGATGACTTGTTTATGACTATTTCACCTGAAATGGAATCCATATAGAACCCTATCTCCGATGCATAAGAGGGAGTGAATACATTGTGAAAAAAGTTAGGTAATTGTAACATTTTCCAATCCCACACAGACCATGTGTAAACGTCAGAATTCCATTAATTTCCACGCATGTAACTAATGAACCATATGATTCATATCTTCTAGAGAGAAAAATAAGGGAGGCAATGAAGACAAAAGGACCCAAAAATGTCTGCATAAACGCTCTGGAACATCGCCTACCCAAAAAGAGTGGGAAAACTAGTGTTCCGGGTCAAAGCCACTACCAAAAAGTCTAATCATGTGCACAAACTTTAATTATGACACTGAGACTTCAAATCTATCCAGAAGATATTTATATATATATAGATATATATGTAGAGAACACTTATCAAATGTCCTTTTAACTATAATCTTCTTCTGTTCTGTCAAACTCTTGCACTTGAGGCCATTCAATTAAATTTGTAAGATGGGAAGCTTCTTTTTACTAATTAACCGTTTTCTTCAAGCCTTAATGATCATCGTCCTTCCTTGTTTCTTCACCAGTGTAATTTGCACAAATTTTGAAAGCCCATCACAATTATCTTCCTTACTCCCCCCATTACCTCCACTACCACTAATCCCCTCATTACCTCCAATTATCCCTGAGCTTTTGAACTTCACAGACCAAAGACTAGCTCTGGTGTACCCTATAATAAACGCCTTCAAGAACATCATCACTTCAGACCCTTTAGGCATCACTCAAACCTGGGTTGGCTCGGATATATGCTCCTACAAGGGCTTCTACTGTGATAAACCACCAGACAATCAAAGCGCCGTTGCTCTAGCCTCCATCGATTTCAATGGCTTCCAACTCAGTGCTCCCAGTATCGACGGCTTCATCGACCAACTTCCTGACCTTGCACTCTTCCATGCAAACTCTAACAACTTTTCAGGTACGATATGGTCTGAAAATTTGAATAATATCTTCAATTTTTTTCGGTACATTTTAGTCAACATTTTCATACTCTTAATTTCTGCCGATGTATATCCTAAATTTTAAACCCTGAAGTCGATGTTTGTGTTCATATTGATGTTTAATTCAGGTATCATTTCTCCAAAAATTGCAAATCTCAAATATCTGTACGAGCTTGACATAAGCAACAACAACTTCTTTGGCCCTTTCCCCACGGCTCTTCTCACCATGAATAGCCTATCATTTTTGGACATTCGTTTCAACTCTTTTACTGGGTCTGTACCACCACAAATTTTCAAGAAAACCCTAGACGTCCTCTTCATTAACAACAACAAATTCACACTAAAACTTCCAGACAACCTTGGAGCTACACCAGCCCGTTATCTCACTTTAGCCAACAACAATTTCACCGGGCCAATCCCAAAAAGCATTGGCAGCGCTTCATCAACTTTGATAGAAGCTCTACTCATGAACAATTTGATAACGGGTTGCGTCCCTTATGAACTAGGGTTTCTAAAAGATGCAACACTCTTTGATGCTGGAAACAACCAATTGACAGGGCCATTGCCGTGTTCATTGGGATGCTTGGAGAAGATTGAGCAGCTTAATTTCGCCGGAAACTTCCTCTATGGAAAGGTGCCGGAGGTGGTGTGTGAATTAGGGAACTTGGCCAATTTATCGTTGTCTAACAACTATTTTACGATGGTTGGGCCAATTTGTAGGAAGCTGATTAAAAGTGGGGTTCTTGACTTGAGGAAGAACTGCATTCGTGATCTTGCAGATCAAAGATCAGTGGAGGAATATGCCTCGTTTTCCTTGCACCCTAGAAGTTGCCAGCATCCGGAGAGCTTTAGTTTCATGCCTTGTAAGGTTCCCCCAAAATAGAAGGGACATTTGGATTCTTATGCTGCTCGTTCGCGGCACAGATTAATGTGAGGACTTGCTATAGGGTTATAGCTGGTCAGGGTATAGATCATAAATAATGTAGTAGGGATCGATACGAGAATACTTGTTAATGTTATGTGATTAAATGAAACATAAGATATTCGGATGCATAAGTGAATATTCTTAATAAGTGACAACTCTTTTATGCAAATGTATTTATTTTAAGTCTATTTTTATTTGTTAATTATGAAAAGTCATGTTTACCCTAAAATTTGGTAAATATCATGGATGATCACAGACCAGTCGAACCACTACAAGCTTATGTAGAAAAGAAAGAAAAATCAGAACAGAAACATTAGTGCACCACTTACCACTATCGGAATCGATAGAACATGGCAACAATTAAAGTAAGTGACCAACTAAAAAAAAGACGACAGAAACCAATCATGGTTTGCAGAAGACTTCAACCACAATTAGTTTGGAATTAGTTGGAACCCAAAAAGAAAAGACTCCACGATGCCTTATTTCATATATAGAAAGAGCCCATGTTTGATCATTGGCAAGAAAACAAGAGATTGTATTTACACTTGAAAGACTAAACAAACTGTACTTGAATTTAATAAAACCATGAAAAAAAAAGGAAAACAAAAGGACAAAAAGCAAAGCCCAAACGAGGGAAAAAGGACAAGGCTCAGGACACTCTGCAAGAGGTCCAATTAAAGGCACCAAGGCCGAAGACCAACCGATATGCACCAACAACACGGAAAGGCTAGAATGAGGAGGTTGAGTGAGGAGGTGTGTTGCGTAGATACAGCTTCACCAAAATGGATTCAGTTGCATCCTCAACTTGTGATACTCGCAAGTGCACGAGCCGTTTGGTAGTATAGCATATGTAAGTGCGAGGTCGATCCCACGAGGATTGGTGATTGAATGATCCAATTTATTTTTCCTACACAAAACAGAAATGAAAAAGAAAGGAAATAAATAAAACAAGGAAGAAAGAAAATAACTAACTCAAGCAGATAAGTTCCCAAGTTCAATTAGATTAACGGATTGATTCTAGCTAATGTATGATTAAGCCATGGTGTTTGGTCATAACCTTGTGTTCCTAATTCCCTAATTTGATCATTTGTTGTCTAACCTAAAATTAAGCATTAGGAACCCATTAAGCATAGAAGAACAATTTAAACAACCAAGCATGTATCTAATCCCTGTTGTCGAATGTCCATACATACTCTTCCTATTCATAGTTCAATTCGAATTAAAGCATGGTGTATACTCTTAATTCAAACCAAGATAGCTAACATGCAAGCCTTAATGGTGATCAATCATTCAAACTAGCATATTAACTTATAAGCATAATGAATAAGAACAAAAACCATAATTGAAACTTGAAAACTAATCAAACTTGAAACTAAAGAAAAGAATTTACATAACAATGAAAATGAAGTAAAACTTGGAAAAACTTAAGGAGAATTTCAGCACAAAGATCTCATTATAACAATTGAAAACTAGAAAATGAAACTAAGAGAATTTGAGGAAGAGAAGGGAAGGGAGCTCTAGAGAAGTGTTTGAGAGCGCCCCCCCTTGGGGTGTGTTTACAAGCTT